TTGGCGCTCCGAGGGGCGGCCCTCTCGGGGAGTAGCCCCCCGCCCTGCCTCGGGTCGGCGGCGCGCCGCGGGCCCTGGGGAGAGGGGGCCCGGCCCTGCCGGGACGGCTGCTGCGCCCCCTGCCGCTGTACATGTCCTCGTAGCCATAGTAAGGGTCTTCGTAGCCTCCGCGGTAGTCATGATAGTCGTAGCCATAGTAGTCATTTGGCGCTCCGAGGGGCGGCCCTCTCGGGGAGTAGCCCCCCGCCCTGCCTCGGGTCGGCGGCGCGCCGCGGGCCCTGGGGAGAGGGGGCCCGGCCCTGCCGGGACGGCTGCTGCGCCCCCTGCCGCTGTACATGTCCTCGTAGCCATAGTAAGGGTCTTCGTAGCCTCCGCGGTAGTCATGATAGTCGTAGCCATAGTAGTCATCGTAATAGTCTTCGTAGCCATAGTAATCTGACGGGTACGAGTAGCCCCCGCGCCCACCGCGACTTCTGCCACGGCCTGGTGGCGGCATGCGCGGAGGTGGGTAGTAGTAGTAGTCGTCATACCTACAGAGGCGCACAACGGGAGCTTGGTTAGGTGAGAGCATATGTCAGGCAGGCGGGCGGACAGAAGCCCCCCCCCCCCTCCCGACTCACCCGGCAGTCCTGGAGGTCTGCCGAGCTGCTTGGCGCTCTTTCCTCTTCTTATCTGGAGGTTTGGCCAAGACTATCTCGATTTCTTCCCCGCCGAGCTCCTTCCCGTTCATCTCGTCCATAGCCTGTTGGGAATTCGGTGAGTTCCTCGCCAAAGAAAAATAGGGCAATTCAATCAAGCGTGTCCGACTCACCTTGACAGCAGCGTCCCTTTCCTCAAAGTGAACAAAAGCGTAGTCTTTCAATTTCTTCACTCGCTCCAGCTTGCCAAACTGAGAGAAGGTGTTTTCAAGGAGCTCTTCGGTCACCGCGTTGGCCAGCTTCCTTACAAAGAGCACCTTGACCTGCACCGCAGACAACCGTGTCACCCCCAACAGTCAAATTCGGACCCCGATCCACGGCAAGTAAAGGAATAGCCTAACACGATGTTGCTCGAAGGGAGTCGGCCACGTAAAGCCGACCGTGCCCGTGCCATAGACATGCCGCAGCCTCGCGTTAACCGGCGTGCTCATTTTCTCCAACCAACCTTCGCCATGACTTCAGGGTCGGGCTCGGCGACCGGGTCAGCCCACTCCACCGTTACCGGATTCCCCCACACTTTGACCTTGCCGCTCATGAGGCGGCGGCGGGCTTGCGCGGCAGACTTGTGGTCCTCGTACTCCAGGAAACAAAAGCCTCGGTTCTTCTTCTTGTCGTCCGGCTGGTGGTACAAGATCACTTCTTGGAGACCCTCTGGAAGATTCAAAGCAGCTTAACTTTGCGCCCGAGCCCAGGCCACCCCGGTGACACGACCGCACTTTTGAGAATGATCCTCCGTACGGCGCCACCAAACCTCATCCGCGTCCTAGAAACTGACCTGTAACTTTGCCAAAGTCTTCCAAGATACTTTCTCGAGTCTTGTTCTTTGGGATAGAGCCAACGAAGAGCCGATTGTTGGCAACGGATACGCACACTCCCAAGTACTTGCCAGGGCGGATTTCATAGTTATCACACTGGAGGGTGGAAAAGGAAAAAGTCAACAGCTGAGTCACATTCGCCAACGGATTCAAAAGTGAGGAGCTACTACGACTGCAGTGGAACTATTGTGAACGACGGCTAAGCGCCGAAGCGGCCTCGGTGCCAAATGCTTCCACTTGTGTCCCACACCTTGCGGATTATTCTGCCCTCCGACAAGCTTGATGTAGTTGGCCCGCATTACTTACGAGCTTGACAGCCTTTTGTGCGTCGTCCTTATTGCAGAATGTGATGAAGGCGTAACCTCGATTCTGACCAGAAAGCGGGTCCATCATTAACCGGAGGTCCCAGATGAGCCCGGCGGACTCAAAGAGCGGAACCAGCTCATCTTCGTACAAGTCCCTCGGGATCTTTCCCACAAACACCTGGCAAGGACACAGACAGACTCGTTTGAACTTGTGTGCGACAGTAACAAGTTGTTCTTTGGGCGAGGTCAAAGAGGCTCAATGGGTGGGGTCAACCAACGCCCTGAGAAAGTAATTGCTCGATCCCTGAAAAACAAATACCAAAATTTCATCGGGTGGACTGGCTGACCTTTTTTTTTTTTTTTTAAACAATGCTAAAAAGTGACTGTCTCCACTGCAAAGTTGATGATGGCAACAGTTTATGACCCTCGGAAGACAGAGTCGTTGATATTGTTGCCATCTTTAAATGGGACCAATGGCCCTGGTATTGATCAGCCTCAATTATTCAATTATGGACGACAACTCTTACCTCTGTCCCAATCCCTGGTTGAATTCCGTTGAACACCTTCTCAGGTGGGGGGCCCCCGTATTTCCTCTGGCCTGTGGTGACATCCAAAGTGTATCCTGTCTGCTCCAAAAGAGCCTTAAATGGAAGCAAGCAAAACATGAGCAACGTTGCACGATACGAGCTCAACTTTTACCCCCCCCAAATAAATACATAAATAAATGAATGAATGAATGAATAAATAAATAAATGGGCAGTCTGGGGTCAGTACCATACCTTTATTTTTGTCTCATCTGGCCCTTTCGTGGACTCTTGAACTTTGCTACCTTGCTTCTCTCTCTGTCGATAAGTTTTCATCACTCCACAAAGGAAAGCGCTCTTATTCTGTCGGGAACAGGAGAGCATCAATGAAGCGAATGCATATGGAAGACAGGAGCATGTTCAAAGGCGCTCCATTTGCAGGGGCGGGTGTGTCAGTAAATTTCGGCGGCCGCCAGCCCACCAGTCTGTCATCATCAGTCCGTCGACATTTCAGGCCAGCCCAGTCTGCCAGTCCGTCACGCTGTCATTGCTACTTTAACTGCACTAACGTCATCGCTAAATTTCAATCCGTCACCGCCATTTTCTGACCAATGGAGAAAAAAAGCGGTTTCCAAAGGTAACGACACACGATTCGGATGACTTTGCACAAGGAAAAAAAATAGCTCAATAAATACATTCTACGACACATTTCCATATACAGCCGACACGCGTTTGCGTGTCAGGCCTTGCGCGTTTGAAACAAAAAATGTTGCCCACTTCTCAGCGACGGGATGATACAACATCATTGTGGTCGGTGGGAAGTAACCCGAGTGTAGTCAGGCCTGCGAAAAAACACACGCAAGACGCGTGACGCAATAATAACCATTTGCTCTGAACCTAGCATCATTACCTGTACATGAGACAGATCACTCTCTCTGAACTGCTGCAGCACAGCGAGCGCTCCCTCCTCGCTGAACTCCCGTAGAGCGTCGATGGCCCTCTCGTCCAATTCGTCATGCGACACCAAGCCTTTTGTTCCAACAGAGACAACGAAATTACTTTTTATCACACTTGGAAAACACCAAGACCGTCACTCACCTGTCTGGAAGATGTTCTCTAGATTTTCACAAACATTCTGTGGGAGTCCAGTATTAATGAGTGTCTGGTAGTTCTCCGCGAGGGGTCCTGTCACATCCATGGGTTCTTCTTCCTCTTTCAGCAGGGCAGAACTACCGTTCACCTCAGCGGCAGCCATTCTCCTGATTCGAAGGCAATGGAAGAACTGAATAAGGATTCTCCAGTGAGGGTTTTTCTCCCCACACAAATTTGCTGTGAAGGATGCACTCGCTGGCCAAAGTGTGGAGATAAACTTGCACTGTCGAAGGATTAAAGATTGATGAAAGACTATTTTCAAAATGAAACAAAAAACAAGCAAAAAAAAAAAAAGCCCTAAATCAACAGCACCGAAAACTAAACATGAATTGTCCTCTTTCGTCGGTGTTCTATCCTACAATGCAAAGGCAATTAAAGTCATGAACAAAGCATCGTTAATAAATACGAATTTGCTCTTAATAGACATTGCGAAATAAATGAAGTTACACGTACGTTCCGTTACAACGTTAGAGACATTTGGACCCCACCAAGATGGACTCGCAGTCCCGCCCCCCTTCCAAATCCGCTTGCTAAACAATCCAAGTGAAGGCGCGATTTTAACTGGAGCGGGCCTTGCGGTCCACAACATAATACCGACTACATAAAACGTGATCCCGACGGTGCGAAGATTTTCGAAGACTTGCACGTTTGAACCCCACGCCGCGTTAGTCTGCGAGATGGCTAGCTGAAGAGTGAATGAGCACGAAGGCCGCGCCGCGCAAGTAAACGCCTTCGACATCAAACACACGAGCCGTAAAAGCGGCTACAAAATAGTTAGCAACACTTACCAGCTTGATTCTGTAAATTAACAGAGGTGCGCTTTGAAATGTTAAACAACTAACGCGTCTATCGGGGAGATGAACAAATACTAATGGAAATGTTGTAGTGTCGAACCCACGAGACTAATTTCCAGACAGCGAGTCTCGTCGTCGGTAAGCGAGAACAACGCCACTACTCACAAATATCGCGAGAACTGGTTTCACGCGAACGACAGACAAAAGGGGCGTGCCTCTTTGTCTAGTGGACGTCGTCACGACATTTGGTCAAACCGGCGTTCCGTCGACGACCGAAAAACGTATGTTGCGCCTTCATGTCTGTGGTGACATATGACAATTCAAGAGCAAAATAAGTAAATGTCACAGCTGTTAATCCAAATCACTGTATGGAATTTAGCCTCTCACCAATAGGAAGACATGTCAAGTGCAGTTTCACTTTATTGGTTGTGTTTGCATTCAAAATGTCTCATAACAGGGCAAGTCAATGAGCATTTGATTCGAATTGCTTTGACACTCATGATGGCTCAGTCATCATGCTTGAGCCTTCTAATTTTGCCCTGATGACGGTCAATCTCCTTTTGCAGGCGCTCAATCTCCTTTTTGTGGTGCTCAATCTCCTCTGTGTGGTGCTTCCTCAGCGCATCCATCTGCTCTTTCTCCTTTTGCCTACGATGAGATGAGGGGCCGGTGGTCAACGAAGGACGAAGAAGCACAGAAAAGGGATTCAAGGAGACGGGGCGTCACCTGAAGTACCGCTCCTCTTCTGCTACTTCTCGTTTTCCAAAGGCACCTCCTGCTTCCCTCACAGAGCCTCCTCCACCTCCACCTTTCCCTGCTCCCCTTCCTAACTCACCCAGCTGGAATAAGATTCGATTCAAATAACAACGCATTTAGTTTCCAGAGTGTTCAGGTCACAAATGAAAAGCACATTTTCAAAGCAGTTGGTTTTTATTCGATTATCGTGTTGGTAGGCACCGCACCTTAAGCATCCTATCGGTTTCACTTTCATGAAAAAAAAAGTTTGAGAAAAACTATTACATTAAAAAAAAAGCAGGTCACCTTTGACCTACGGTGGTGCACGAATCCGCAAGTTGCGATGGCCGCACTGACATTAAACGTTGATGTCAAGTGCGGGGCCACAAAATATCAACTATCAAATGGCTGGGCGTTTGAGAGACAAACAGAGAGTGGGGAAATCCATGTCCCCAGCACCGTTTTACACGTGCGCTGTCATATCGACCTCACCAATGCCACACTCGTTGCTGTTGCTTTAACATTTGCGGTTCTATGTTGTATTGACATTGTACATTCGTAAAACGTTATTTTTCCCTTTGTCTGGTCTCAGCAGTATGGTTCTGTTCCTGCATCCGTCTCTTTTGTCCTGTACGGTACATAACTGCGGAAATGACACTTCTTATACGTCGAATCCATTTTACTCAACACAATTCACCGGTCACTCCAAAAAAAAAAAAAAAAAAACGTTGGCCCACGCTGTGCCACTTAGGCGTTGTCTTTGTGAATGCAGTCACCTCAGTATAGAAATATACCAACTTTTTTTGCCCTCTTTTTGTGGGGACTTTATGAATAAAACTGCCACGCCTTTGAGTTCGGTCATGCATTTTGAGCAAAGTGGGCGAGGCATATCGCGGTTTACACGAGTGTCTATTTGCACACGTGACGTTTGCCCAAACCTGTCTGTCTGTTTTAAACACAGTGGAGTATTTGTGGGCACGGTGCCATGAAATCCAACAGTAACGCGAAATCACACTTTCAGGTGGGCGCATTGCGATCGCACTCGACATTGCAAGAGCACCAGATGCGTTCCTCCGGTTGGACTCCGGGGCAAAGTTTCCAGGATGCTTTCAAAACATTAGCAAGCTAATGCTAACACGCGTGGCATTCCCTCGGCAGTTTTACCTGATCGGATGCCATTCTAATCTGAGCCGCGATGCAGCCTCTCGGGTTCAATTTGAACAGAAGCCGGGACATATTGCCTGGTGCTCCGGAGAGAGACGTTGCCGCAGCGGCGCCGGCTTATCGACGCCCGTTATGCCGTCTCTGCAAAATTGCGGAAAAGTGCCAGCGCATCTGGGCGGAAGTTGGCTTGTTGCTGCCAGTAGCAGGTCAGGATGAGAACTGCAATATCGAACTCGAACCCAAGCCGGAGGCTGATTTTGCAGGTTCGAGATGAAGGAGACGTATAAGCGCAACTAGAAGGAGGGCTTGATTGAATTCTTCTTATTTTTACCTCACTCTTATCGTACGACGCTGCGAAGTGCCAAACGCACACGCAAAACTAAATGCAACGGCAAATGAAAAAAACACAAGAGCAAGAATGAAACAAAAAACAATAATCTGAGGTAAATCAAAAACAAAAACAAATAGGTAGTTACAGCAAGAACAACAAAAACGCAAAAATGACGAGATTAGAACAGTATGTCAATTGAATCGAATTCTTTTTTTAAAAATTTTTTTTTAACAAAAACGAAACGCAACGGCAAATGAAAAAAAACGCAAACCCACGACCGACACCATTTTGCATACCAAGATCAACGGCTCATCCACTCAAATCTTCTCTAAAAGCACGATCACACAAAAAGCCTCTTCATTCTTTTCACCCCGAAAGACCCTTTTTTTGTTTGTTTTTTTGGGTGAAACTGAGCTAGTGCAAGCATGGTAGTAGCAACCCTGCAACAAATGGTGGCAGTATACCACTAAACATGGAATCAGATCATTCATCATCATTATCTTCTTGAGCGAATAAGCTATCCATGTATCATTCATGGAGGATACACTCCGATTTCCTTTGAGGGAGCTGCAAATGTTTTATTTTGTGTCGAGAAAACCACAGCCACCGTGCTGCTTTTGTTGTGTGTCTGCGTTTTTTTTTTATTTGCACGTTAATTGTTCTATCGTCATTCACAGACTTCTTCCGGTCCGCGGGGTACATAGCAAGCAGTTCCCTGGATCCTTTCACCTCACCCGCTCAAGTGTTGCCATAGGAAATAGTATCCTGGCAACAGCACTAATCTGTGCAAAGACAAAGGAAGGTCAGGCGCTCAATTCTTTTTTCATAACCTCTTCTTGCTAAAAAGCGTTCCGTTAACCAAGTCAGCCGATCCACATACTTGACGATATTTCATCAAGTCTTCGTGGAATCACGTCAGTTTAAGTGCATTTCTCCAGCACGTCCGCAGAGCACACGCAGGGCACGTAACCGGCCCCCCTTTAATCGGGCGCAAGATGAATAATGGCCCCAAATACAATGCGGGATGTATTCTTACTTCCGGGGAAGGGCGGGGCGGGGTCACATCTTTTCGAATTTCAAGGATGACGCAACAGCGCCCTCGCCACAGAAATGTACAGTTACTGAATCTATATTTCCAACAGACGGCTGCGAGCGCATTTCCCAAACGGTTAAGTGGGTTGCCGAATGAAATTTTGAAGCCGCTTCGCCGGATGAGACGGTGCCGATTTCCCGTGCCCGCATTCAGGTCGCCCGCTTTCAAGACCGCTGGCGCTACAGCCCCCCGGAGTTGCCCGGATGTTGCCATGGTGACCATCGGTGCCGCTATCTGGGCACACGCAGAGTCTTTGTTTTCTGAACACACAAGGTCATTCGAGCCCAGGAGCATCTGGCCCACGTTTGTAAACAGATCCCCGGCTCGATTGGCAGTCACATCCATGTCACTTGTTTTGCACCAAATACTGTAAGTCAGCCACGAAGGCTTGCAGCACTTCCCGTCAGCTTTCTACGACCTGACATCGCATGCTCATAAATGCTCCTTACATCAAAGCACATGTCCTCCTTTCAGGCTTTTCGTTCTGGCTTTTGCCAAACTGCCCGTGGGGGATTTCTTTAGTCACAAAGACAGCAAGCAAGGCAGAGAAAAACCTCAAGTACAAAGTTAACAACGTCCTCACCACATACTGCATTCAAAGTCACAAAGGAAGGTCATGGACTCAAAGGGACCAGATTGAGGAGCACAGGTGGAACGGCAAAAGAGCTCCTGCGCGAGCTACGTGCCGCAAGAAAACAAGACCTAACGTGAAACAAAACGAAACACAAAGCAAACGGTGACAAAGGGGGCCACAATATTCATACCGGAACGGGTGAAAATTCAAGCCATGACGCCTGCACGGAAGTCACGGCAGAAAAACGGAATGGACCTCGTGCTGACTAGAAATTTAGCGACGCGCCCGCCAAGATGCCACTTCACAAAACTGTTTTACAGAGCGAGTACAACTTGGAAGGCACCCGGCGTCGCGAACGTAGTCACATTTGGAGGCATCAATGACAGCAATTACCCACGTTTCATATGGTTTTCAATGAGCAAGAAGTTAATCGATGAGAAAAAAAAACCCCACCTGTGCAGCATCTGCAGACCATAAGCAGGCATCAAATCAAGCCTGAATTGTTTTCCCTCCTCGAGGACGCGCTTTGCCAGACGAGGCCATCTGGCTCCCCTCGTGACTCTGGTGCGCCTTTCTTTGGCACATCAGTCTTGGCCAGTGTCGACAGCCATCTCTCTTCCGCTATCGTTCCCCGACAGTTTAAACACACTGTGGCGCAACGCTTGCTCAAGAAGGCTGACCTTGATCAAGGTGTTCCGCGGTCGCGCCCTTGAGTGGTTTCGGTTCTATTGACCTGACAGAACCATTGATGTTAGCCTCGGTTGCTCCGAGTCAGGAGCTGCCCTGCTCTCGTGTGGTGTTCCACAGGGCTCACTTCTGGGGCCTCTGCTGTTCTCACTGTGGTATTAAAAAGTGCTGTACATGGAGTCACAATAATTCATACAACAAACAAGAAAACATCGAACCCTGCCCCTCTGCACTGTGAGGCGGACGCGCTAACCAGTCGCCCGCCGTGCTGCTGTCTCAACCGGTCCGCGTCACAAAAAAAAACCAAAAAAAAGTTGGGGGACCACTGCTCTTTTGAACCCCTTTTGTTTTCCTTTGTAATGATTCGCCTGCCGAAAGCATGAAAATAGAACGGATGACAGGTGCTCTTTTCTCAAGTTAAGAGCGTGCTTTTTTGGTATCAACAAATCACGACTTCGATGGAGAGACATTTTGCCAGAGGCTTTAGGGTGGCTATTAAAAATAGATTACAAACACATAACCGCGCTCTGTGCGCTTCCACCGAGTCTTCTTTTAGCCAATCTTTCAAAGTGTCTTTTGTTCTGTCAACATATTCAAACTAAAAACGATGGTGTCCAGCGTTCGACGAGTCATTTGAGAGTTGGAATTTCACAAGTCACGTCACACAACTCGGTCATGTCGGTGTAGCTTTGTTTTATTATAAATTCATCACATTCATTTTGTGCTGTGCAAAATGTACAGTTTAGGGGATGGGGAAAAAATGCATTCAAAAATAAATCAGGACAAGAGATTACAAACGGTTCATTCAGTCCGTTGAGGTACTGTGTGACTTGGACTGACAGCAAAACAAAGGAACCGATGCAACCGGAAAGAGAATTTGCAGGTAACCGTGACAGCTAGTGACAAAGTTATCAAAACACGTTTACAGGAGACAGAAGGTTCCATTACTCATCGCGACACAGTGGAGAGTAATAACAAATATCCTGAAGCACATTTGTAGGAGCTAGTCATTCATTCTATACACAGTTTATAGAAGTACAATTGTCTACCTGTCACAGACATCTCCAAATGTGGAGTCTTAGGCTAACAAATCTCAAATCGATAAATTCCTTGAATTGCTAATACAGATTTGTCAGACAATATTCTCATCAAGCGTCTATATGCTCGGGAAATAGGAGGAAGATGGTAGAAAAAAGTTGAATCACCGGTAAGAAAAACTGCTTGAGCATCAAGCGCGCGTCCTATTGGCCCATTTCACACCGATGGGTAAAAAACACAAACGTGAGACTGCGCTGTCACGTCAGTGCCAGGAGCCTCATCTTTGTCCAAAGAGTCCCGCAAGGCTGAGAATCAAATGGGCGCTGACCAAAAGGTCTTCCCCAGGCCCGGATCCACAAATTGCCGCCTTGTTTCTGCTCCATGTTAAGAGTCCGTATTGCGACGCTGGTGTTTTGGTATCGAGGCAAAACGCACACACAAAGCCACCGCTCTGTCGGTTTGTCCCAATGCAGAGCACACTGGTTCCTCATCATACAACACGTGACATATGCGCTCTACTTTGTTTCCAGCCGAACATTGCAGGTCCCAGTCAAAATAAAGAAACCAACCCGAATCCATGAATGGAAGGGGGGGGGGAAACCCTCCCAACCAAACTCTGATCATCGACAACAGCGGTAACGATGACGCGGAAAGGAATCACCAGCAGACAGTTTGAATGTATTCCGAGTATCAGGGATGTGTCTTAAGAGAGCAACGGAAAGGATCAAGTGGAAAAAGAAACAAAGAACCTGCGCCAACTGTGAAACGGCTGCCTTTGCTCTCTTTGCTATGCCGGAAGGGAATTTGGCTGGAAGAGGAGCAGCCGAGAGTCGCAGTTAGCGGGGCGGAGGAGACGGCGTTCCGGTATTTGGGGTGTCGACGAAGTGGAGCTGGAGGTGAAAAGAAGTGCAGCAGGGCTCCTCATCTCAACTGCAGGCTTCAGGAACCCCGCAGCCAACACGAATGCGACCACAGCCGGCTCTGGTCGTCGCGAAGCGCGGGACTCGGAACTCCCCGCCGGGCCCTCGAGCCGAGTCCACCGGGGGAGGCTACGATAAGAAACCAACCCGACCCCACTCTATTGTCCCCTCTTACCCCATCCCGCCCTGCTTTTTCCTGCTTAGGCTGAGGATTTGAAGACCTAGATTCTCGGAGCGACTTTCCCACTCCCTCGATTTCTCGCGTTCATCCCATACGGGAGCCCAAACCCAAAAGGTGAAAGTAAAGCTTGCTGGCTCGCTAGCCCCGCCCCCGGTCTTCAGACCTCTGTCTGCAGGTCAACCATGTCCTGACCCGCCAGGGGGATGGAGGTGCCGCTCTTCTCCCATTCCACAGAGTGCAGCTCCAGCGGCGAGGCGGCCAGAGGCTCCAAGTCTTTGCGGACCCAGGCGGGGGGGGACTGCTGCGCTAAGCCCCGGACCCCTTCCCAAGGCCTCTCCAAGGGACCCGGCTGTTTGTCCTGCGGGGGAACAAAGGGACGACGCTTAGTCGAGAAACGACGCCGCGAACGTCGCCTGAGACGAAGCTCCGATGTCATCCGAACGAAATGGGCTTCATTCCATCAGAGGCGATTTCGGGAGCGTGAATATCACGTCCTACTCTATCCGGCGCTGTGTCTTGACTACGCGTGGTTACTTTGAAATTGCGGGTTCATATGAAAAACACTCACGCTTTGGTTGGTTTTGTCACTTCCCGCTGATGAGACGCTCCATCTCACGGACTGTAGGAAGCAAGGAAGAAAATGCATCCTTAATTCAAATGACCTCACGTTAACCGTAGCGCAAATACGAAGACCCTGTCGTGTGTCAATACCCCAAAAAAGCAGCGAGGCAGGAGAACCGGGGCAAACTGAACAAAATGTATTTTTTAAAAAAAGAAGAAAAAAAACACTTGCGGGGCTACACCGGAAACACCAAATCCAAAACACAAGGTCCTGAGAAAGCCCGGTAAAGCAAAGCAACAAAACAAACAGAAACCCATGACAGGAACCACGACCATCATGTTTTTCTCGGGTCGTTTCGCCACCACCAAACTCCTCCGTTAGAATACCATTCACCATGCCTCTGCTGCCATACTTCTTATCCTTTTTTTTTTTTTTCCGGACACTACACAAACCCAAAAAAATTCCTTTTGGTAGGAGGATGAGCGATGGGCGCAATGGGTGAGCAGATCGTATACCTTGCTGTCAGAGGCGGGCGACTCCCTGTCTTTCTCAGCATGGTGCAACTTCCTGTTCAGATCCTGGAACATGTTCTGGTGGCGTTTCTTGGTGTGCATTATTTTCTGCGGAGCCCATTGACCCAAATCATGAATGTTGAAATCAGGATCATTGCGATGAAGAATACTGGAAGAAAGGCGGATGGATGCTTACCTCAAAGTCAAGCTCGGCGTACCGGGACTTTTGTCTCTATAAAATACGAGGGGACGAGTCGGGTCAGTTCGGTTAAATGAGTAAGTCAGAAGCATTCTGGGTATTTTTTTTTTCTTTCTTTCGCTCTCACCTCCAAGGAGCTCATGGACAACGTGGAGATGGTTTCGCTTTTGGACATCATCGAGTTCATCGACTCAAAGGTGTTCTCCAGGCTGCTGTGAGTGATGTGAGACTCACTGGAGATGTTGTGGATGTTCTGGATGGGCGAGTCCCTCTCGGAATAGGACACGCTGACCTGGTCGCAGGGAATGGACTTGATCCCAAAGGCAGCTTGCGGCTCGGCGAAGGGGCCGCTGAGGTGCATGAGTCTGGCCTGCGGCAGTTGTTCCGCGCCGAGGTCGTATTTGGCCTGCTCCTCTTTGGGTTTGCTTCTCAGGGTGGAGGTGGTGTTGGGCATGAGCACGTAGCCGCTGCCGTCGGAGACTCCGCCCTCCGCCTGAACGCGAGCGAGATCCACATCCAGCGGCCGGAAAAGCTCTCCCTCACACACGTACACGGGTTTCCCGCAGGAGGGGTCGACCCCGCCCGCCAGCCGGCTCTTCTCTCTCTTCAGGGTGAGAGTGTGGCTGGAATATTCGGGGACCGCCTGCATGTGGGTCTTGTTGGACGGCAGGGTGTGGAAGTTGGGGCCCATGGGCAGAGGCATTTGAGGGGGGGACATCTTCTCTTCGGATGAGCCGCTCATTCCTTTGAGGAAAAAAAATGACCATTACGGTCAATTAGAGCACGTGAAGGGCATCCGCAACGAAATGCAAATGGCAACGTGTTCGGGGCAAAACGTGGATGCAAATCCTGATTCCCCACTCAGCACTTGCAAACAACTGCCGCCGTGTACAAAGCGCCGTACGTGGAGCAAAATCATCCATACAAAAAAAACCCAGACACAAATTAATAACGACGACGAGGCCATCTAAAAATCAAGTCTCACGTGGAGTCAAAAACCAAGGCATAAAAATGACGAGTTTGACGGATATGGGCCGCCAGGGGCCTTGCCGAACGAGAGCGAGCGCCGACGGAAAAGGCTCGTTTGAACGCGCTCGCCGGAGAAAGGAGAGGCTTTGTGGAAGATGAAAGAAGCCCGATTTAATGCTCACCTGGGATGCGTGAATCGCCATCCTTTTCCGTATCGGACTGGTGAAAAGGAAACAAACATTCCGTCAATGCAACATGTTCATTTCGGGGAGAAAATTGCCAAGGCGCTCACTCGATACGATCGTCACGCCAAGAAACATACCGTAAGCTGGTTGTGGCCATTGTGATGCGAGCTTCCAGAATCTCCATTGCCGTCATCCTTGCGGTCAACGACCCTGCACTTCACGGCTTCCTGAACCTGAGAAGGGGACGCTCGCTTCAGGGACTTGCATTGAAAGCAAAACGCATCGACAGGACTGGAGCCGGTTCCTTACCTCTCGACGCAGGATGCAGTGCACCATGACAATGATGAAGCCTTCCAGGGAGTCGAAGACGGCAAAGAGGATTTGGAAGAGGGCCGAGCGGCGGTCGGTGATGGCGAGCACGGCGGACATCCACGTCAGGGCCAAGAGGGGCAAAACCACGCAGGAGCTCCACAGCGAGGCCCTGCAAGCGAGGGAGGCGGCCATCCAGTTTTTTAGCATTTTGCATGTTGACCCAAACACCGGGAAAGCGCTTTATGTTTCGAGGGTGTCGAAATACGGAGGTCTAGACGGCCCGGTTCACGAGCTGAACTCTTGTTCACCGAGGTACCACGGAAGTGCGTCTTCTATGACTGGCACCCAAATGAGTTGCAAAGCGTCGCAAGCAGACAAGTACAAGGAACCAACGTGCAGTTGTAAGGGTACATCCGCGATTGATTGCATCCTTTGAATCGTGTCCGTATCGTTTATGTCCTCCAGTGGTTCGGTTGATGTGACGTCATCGTACATCGCCAACATGGCGCGACCAGCACAAAACCTGAATGCAAGATCAAGCGAACCTACCCGGCTCTCTCCTTCAGCTTCACATCGGTAATGCCGTCCTTGGATACCAGCTTGTTAAACACCAGAATGCCAATGACCATGTTCACCTGTTTTGGGGTAGGAGAGGGCGGGGGGGGGGCGTTATAATGGAAAATGAATTGCAGTCATGGTACATGACCGATTACGATTTTGGTCACGGCTCAAGATACGTACCAAAACAACAGCGGCGGCCGGTCCGACGAAGGAGTAGAGGAGTCCGCCCTCAAGAGAGAGCCAACAGCTAAAACAAAAACATTTCGAGTACTTTTAATACTTGGCCTGATCAAACCTCTCTGCAAAATACGCTTCCAAAGTTTGTGATTTCACCCCAATAAAAGAGGCTTTGAGTCTTAAATTGCCTTCCAGTCGGGCAAATTAGCAACAGCATCATGTGCGGAGGGGGGGGGGGGGTTCACACTGAAAAGCAAAAAAAAGGAGACCGAGACTTACTAGTTAACGGTGCCATATCCCTTGGCTTTGGTGAAACCCACAGACACGGCCACCACCAACGCAGGTAAGCCTGTCAAGATGAACAATAAAAGGCTCAGCGTACGAAACGAACACGGGCAACCGAGAAAGTATTCGGCGAGAGGAGGTCAAGGAGGGGGAAAAAAAACAAAGAAGGAGAAAAAGAAGTGAACTACAGCTGCGCTCACCCCAGCCCAAGCACAAGAAGCGCTTGCGGATGATGCGCTTGCGCAGGCGGCCAGTGACGGCCATGTAGGACTGCCAAGCTTCGGTCAGCACCCAGCAGAAAGAGGAGAGGAAAAAGAAGTGCAGGAAAGCCGCTACCAGTGTGCAAACCACCTGAGGAAGCCCAAAGGAGAAAAGGGGGGGGGGGAGAATAGCTGTCACCCAAAGCGCAGAGCTTCACCGAGCCTTGAACTGGAACTAGGAAGAAAGCAAAACACCAACCTTATTACGAGCCTGAGTTTGTCCGAGGAGGATGAGGGCGTTGGAGCAAATGATGGACAGGCAGAAGTTGATGAGGATAACGGAGCGCTCGGAACGGATGTACCTGGAAGAGAAACAAAAGCAAATCAGCAAATGAGTTTGGCTGCGGAGAAGTGAGAGCCCAAGGCCCTTTTCGGCTTTGCTCCGAGAGGGGACTCACTTCCACACGGAGACGTAGATGATGATGAGGAGGAGCAGGGTGAGGGAAGACACCCCGCAGCCGACGATGAGAGTCACGGATGGAAGAAGCGCCTTGTCCATGATCTGGCGGGGGGGGGGAACAAAAGACAGGGCCTCTCAGAGCTGCGCAAAAATCAACAGCCAGACTCCGCACGGGGGCCCGAGCGAAGCGCCACGCGATCCGCGGCGGCTCCCTGGAGGCAAACACCCGAACGGCAGCCCGAGCAAGGTGACCTCGAGGCCAACGTGTGCACAAACATCAAGCGGCCAATCAAACAAAGGGGCGGGCTGGCTTCATTTCTGTCTCCGGAGTCAATGAGAGGAGATTGGGGAGACGGAACAATTCGCACCTTCTCTTCTTGTCATTTTGTCTCCCCTTCCTCCGTTTGCTCATTGCTTTCCATGCGACGCTTTTTTTGGTGTGTGTGTGTGTGTGTGTGTGTGTGTGTGTGTGTGTGTGTGTGTGTGTGTGTGAG